CCGGGGGCGTCCAAGAAAGTTCCTGCCCATAAGGTTTGTGCAGATAATTTTTGGCTTTTTAATGCTGCTGCGCATATCGCCTTCTCCCCTGCCTTACATACAACTAGGTTCCTTTCTCTTTTTGCTTCATCCCCCCCCTAATTACGGCTCTCTTCTAATCCCAGAAGTAATTCACATACACTGCAATTAAAGGGAGCAGTCTAAGGCAGCCCTCTGCCTCCTCTGCAGCTTTTAACTTTCCCTAAGCGTAGCTCTTATGGAAAGCCAGCACGCTCAGCTATCACCGATACGTAATACTGAGGTTTCTCTCTCTCTCTCTTTCTTTTCCAGTATGTTTTGGCAGTTGGTAGCTCTGTCTTCTATGCTATGTTTTATGGCGATCTCGCAGAGGTCAAATCTGAAATCCATATACCAGATGTGGAACCTGCAGCCTTTCTAATCCTATTAAAGTAAGTGGCCACTACAAGTCTGCTAATTACGTGGACAGAATCAAAGTAGCTTATAAAATATACATCTCCTAATTGGCATTGTGCAATACGCACTTAGTACTGTTTACTTAACGTGCTGACAAATACTGAATGTTAAGTTCACTGCCAGCAAAGATGACTATAGATCAATCTTTCACAGACTGTATTTTTTTATTTTTTTTCTTAGAGAAACTAATTTTTTTTCCCCCCATTTAGATACATGTATAGTGATGAAATAGACCTGGAAGCTGACACAGTTCTGGCTACGCTGTACGCTGCCAAGAAGTACATTGTGCCGGCCCTAGCAAAGGCTTGCGTCAATTTTCTGGAGACCAGTTTAGAAGCAAAGAACGCTTGTGTCCTGCTGTCTCAGAGCAGGCTCTTCGAGGAGCCAGAGCTGACGCAGCGCTGCTGGGAAGTGATTGATGCTCAAGCAGAAATGGCACTGAAGTCAGAGGGCTTCTGTGAGATAGATCAACAAACACTCGAGATCATTGTCACCCGGGAGGCCCTCAACACCAAGGAAGTGGTCGTTTTTGAGGCTGTTCTCAACTGGGCAGAGGCTGAATGCAAAAGGCAAGGCCTGCCTGTTACGCCGCGCAACAAGAGGAATGTATTAGGAAAAGCTTTGTACTTGGTGCGGATTCCAACCATGACTTTGGAAGAGTTTGCCAACGGAGCTGCCCAGTCCGACATCCTCACCCTTGAGGAAACTCACAACATATTCCTATGGTACACAGCCACAAATAAACCCAAACTAGAGTTTCCACTGACAAAAAGAAAAGGACTTGTACCTCAGCGATGCCACCGGTTTCAGTCGTCTGCATATCGCAGCAATCAGTGGAGGTACCGAGGGCGGTGTGACAGTATTCAGTTTGCCGTAGACAAACGGATATTTATAGCAGGACTGGGATTGTATGGGTCGAGCTGCGGCAAAGCTGAATACAGTGTCAAAATCGAACTGAAACGCTTAGGAGTTGTCCTTGCTCAAAATCTGACAAAGTTTACCTCCGACGGCTCCAGTAACACTTTCTCTGTGTGGTTTGAACACCCTGTGCAGGTTGAACAAGACACGTTTTACAATGTAAGTGCTATTCTCGACGGTAACGAACTCAGTTACTTTGGGCAAGAGGGAATGACTGAAGTGCAGTGCGGGAAAGTGACGTTCCAGTTCCAGTGCTCCTCGGACAGTACTAATGGCACCGGAGTACAAGGAGGACAAATACCTGAGCTCATTTTCTATGCATGATGCATTTCACCTTGATTGTATTCCAGTACTGCAATGATGCACATCAAGGGATTGTTCAGTTTTACTACAAACTCTGCAGCAGTATGGAATGTTACGCTACTTACCTATCTGCTACATCAGGCTATACAAATAAGTGAAGGAATGCTCTCGAATTTAATCTTATTTTATTTATTCATAAGCTATTTGACTTAATTATAAGACTGCAACAAGCAGAAAAATGTTAAAAATTTCGCACGTACTGTGCATTTATTTTGTATATAGATAACTAACTTTGAGACTGCAGCTGACTTAAACAGAATGTTCTAAACTAGAGCAGTTTACAAATCTGTGAAATATAAAACATTTTTACTTGCCCTAAATCCTGTGTACTTGATCATTGCTGCTCTTACAGCTTCTGTCTGTTAATTCATCTACAGTACAGTTAACAGGGGTGACAATACTGTTGTCTGTCCCCTGTGTGCACTTACCCAGGGCATTAGCTATCACTGCACATACGAAGGTTCCTTTGCCTAGTAACTGAGACTATCCATCAGCAGCCTTTCTTTTCCTTCACAAAAAAGGGAGCTGATATCTGTGGAAAAAGGCTCAGTATTTCTTGTGTGTTGCTTAAACTGAAGATAAACAAACCATGAGTGTAATCAAGGTTGATCAGAGTAATCCTGTGGTTATATTTGAAAGCTTCTACTGCCCATTCACACACATCATCTGTGTTAAGCTCCAGCCTACCCAGCAAACAGCAACACTGACACTTGCACCTGCCAAACTGCACCCAATTTGAACAGCCAGAATCAAGTCATACAGATGAAGCTTAATGCATTGACAGGCTTTATCACAGATTTATCCCAGAGCTGTAATACTGGCAGCCACTATCTAAATATACATCCCATCCTCACATTTAGGAGCAGACATTAGAGCTTGCAATATGGTCTTTAAGTTCTCTCAGAATTACTAATCAGAAATAAGCCATCTTAAACAAAAGCTGCTGGATCTCTATTTTTTTCTAAAAACCACAGTCCCTACCATCCACTATCAGCAGTCATTTTATAGAGCTAGCAGCCTCCACTTTTCTCAAAGTGATAAAAGTAGGCATTTTCCTCAAGTGTCTGACAATCATTGTAGATAAGACAATGAGAAAGACTTTTTTTTTAAAATCTCTCTTCTCATAATGACCTTGGAAAGAATACTCAAAGAGCAGCCTAAACTAAAAATTTTTCCATGCATAACAAGAACCTTTACATTTAATTTAGAAGGGTTTTCCATTTGCCTTTTCCTAAGCTGCATTAATTTCCACATGGAAACTAAGCTGCAATACAAATTCTACCTCTGAAAAAAAGTAATGAAAAAGAAGGCAGCTGAATTATTGAAAACAAGAACTTTTTAGCAGACACCAAGCTATGCTAACAAAGCCAGCACACCACGATGGCCAATAGCTGTGCACTGCCACATGCTATCCGGGTGCCATTATGAGGATGCTCTATGTGTGAGCTGCTGGTTCTCTTGCTGCAAAGGCACGCAGTCATGTGCCCAGCTGAGGACATCTGAAGGGGTGTGCATGTGTTGTTCTTGAACACAGAGGCATCTGATTCTCCCAGTTTAGATTGGGGAGAGTGGGAGGAGTGGGTATATAAGATACAAGAAGAAAATTCCTCCATAGAGGTGCATAACAGTCACAAGACCTCTCTGTAAATGCACTCTTTTAACTGGAATTGACATGAATTCCCTTGGCTTAAAAGCTACAGCCTAGACAACAGCTTTTTTACCCTTTAACAGGTTAAAATCCACCTTCCTATTACTGTGTTACAATTTTGGTGATGACTTACTAATTAAAAAAGTTATTTGCAAGCTTGGAAAAAGTTGCTCCTCGTTTTCCATCAAGCCACTTGTATTGCAAGTGCTGAACTCCTCAGCTACAGCTGATGGACAGACAGTAAATCTGGCAAATATTTATCAAATGTTGCATCTCTGTGGAACTGAAGTGTGACAGGCCTGTGTGGGCTTGTAGACTAACACAAATTTATTATACATCAGCCCATTGTCTTAGAATAGCCTAAACTCTACTCCCAGAAAAAGCAACAAAATTATTTGTAAAAGAAAATAGCTTCTAGCTCTCAAAAAACTCTTAAGGTGAACAGGCTCTCATAGTCAGCAATGCTCTTCTGCCTGGATTGATTCCAGCTTCATTTTAAGTTGCCACTTTGGTATTTAGCACACAATACTATGTATATATAGACACATACATACGTATTTTTGTCCAGTAACTATGCAGAAAATACACCCAAATAAAAGTCAACTCAAAAAAAATACCTATGGCTGGAGCATTTATGCAGAGTTCTCTGGCCAACAGAAGGAATGTTTTTCCCAGCACATAAACATTCACCTATAAAGACAAAAAAACATTATTTCAGTCTTAAACCACCAATGTTTTTAATAGAACATTTCTATGGAAAAAAAAAAAAAAACAAAACAACCCAACTTTTAAAATCTTAAACAATTTGCTTTAAAAAAAAAATTCAATTGAACTAATACAAGCTATATATTCATAGGTATAGAATAATACTTAGTGCTTGTCAAAAGCTGCCCAAATTAGAACTGTAAATCAAGCCTAATTTATACTGAAAAAATTACAAAACGTTGTTCATCACGTTCTTCAGTGGGCTCAGTGTTGCACCATAGTACTTGGGCAATTTTTCAGTTGTCACCTAACATCTGAAAGCATTAAGTAGACTTTAGTATAATATCAGTATCTATAAAGTGTCATTTATCTTGTTACTTAACAAGACCTGAGCAAATACTCACAAGTTAGTGCAAATTTCAGCTCTGCATGATCATGTGAAGTGGGATAATTAAGTATTGCACAAGCACACACCAAACTTTTCCACCAAAGCAAGGAGTGGTGCTACATGCCCCACGGGTTATTTGTCATTTCTTACTGTTTGGACATTGCCCCAGATCATCCTACTTTAAAAAAAAAAAAAAAAAAAAAAAAAAAGGGAAAAAAAAAAAAAGGATAAATAAATTCAGAAAAACCCAAACCACACCAAATCTGCTAAGGATCCAGGAACAGAGCCCTGCTCCCCTCCCTTCCTTCACTCCTGCACTCAGGAGGATGTAAACTGAGGGGAGGAGTTACTCTGATTTGCAATTTATAGCATAGGCAACTACATTTGTTTTTTAAAAGTCTGAGGAAGTTTTCTTTCACTATGGTAAGATGTGTTTTTGTGGTCAGCAAGAAAGGCAGGATATACTTCAATTCCCAATCAGCCCCAAACATTCCCACGAAGCTCCATGAACACCTTGCTCGCCCAAGGCACATACAAAGCTTAAAGTCAGTAGAAAAAAACTTCATCCTCCTACACTGCAAACAAATAGATTTTTTAAAAAATTTATTTTAGGATAGTATATATTCTGTTGCTTTTATGTAACAGAACTGCCCCTCACTTTCCTATGCCAGGAGAGTGAAGGTGTTTACTAAGCAGTCAATTATTGACAACTGAGTTGTTGATTATGGTACAAGCCTATGGAAATAAAAAAATCCTGTTACTAAGTATATTCTCTTCCAGTTTCACAAAAGAGCTTTACCAACATTAATTTAAAAACAAGCTTTCCTCCCAAGTATATAGGTGCTTCTACCAAGCTAGCAAAAATAAATATATATTTTTAAACAAAGAAAAAAAATACTGACACAGTTTCACATAGCACTTCAATTTTTTTTGTTATGGAAAAATGTTCTTAATATGTGTTTTTCTCAATTTTTTTTTTTTTTAAGTGAACTTCAAAGAAATCCTCAGAATGATCATGTATCCTGAAAGTGACTGCTCAATCAAGTGTACATATGATGGTAATTCATTCTGTATTTAGTGGAAAGTATTCAATATCCTCCATTCCCAGTCTGACCAATGCTCGGGCTGGTCTAGAAGATACAAAAGTATAGTCTTGGAATTTACCACTCTTTTTTTCCTGAAGTACCAGACAACATAGAAATACTATTCTATGCGAAGTAAGTGAACAAAATATACCTTTTGAATAAGAAGGATCATTCTTAGGAACTAAGCCATCAAATTTTATACAGAAAAACAAGCACCTACTGAATTTGGCAATCCATACAGGAGTTGAGAGGATGTGACTTTCATGAGCCACAGAGATAGAACAGACATTACTACAGCAACAGATCTGCAGTGTTTCAGTTGGCTTCAGATGCTCTAGGTTCACCGTAAGTTTGGAATGGCTTGTTTTGACCTTTTGTCTAAGAAATATTAACATAAAGAGTTTGGGGTTGGCTGTAGTTTCAGCCTTCTAAGCTGGCTGACCAAGTTATTATAAATCTTAAACCTCATCACTTAGAATCTGTTTTGCAGGGACACTTTCACTGCTCTAATCAATAGTTACTTCAGTGGAGCCAAGCATATATGATGTTTCCATCAGGGGTTTCACAAACTCATCTAGTTCTTTCATTTTAGTCTAGAAAAAAAGCCCCTCAAATTCAAACAAGTATTTCTCTCTCTGGCTTTTTTTGTCATGACATCCAAACACTTGATGTTTGTCTCCATCAAACCATGTCACTTTCTAAGAAACTCCTCCCAAGCAAACTTTCCATAAATGCAATCATCAAAGCACAAATAAACATGAAGAGGCATAAAGAAGCAGGGTTTTTAGTGAACTTCTAACAACCAAAGTAGATGCGGAATTAAATCTAAAGCAAAGACAATGTATAATAAAATTGCTTGATGAGTGTTTTTTATCTTTCTCTCCTTGGTCTAACTAAAAGTCTTTGGATCCATGGTCTATTTGAGAAATAACGTACTTAAATCTAACCTGCTTTTCCACTTCACTCACATCATCAGTGTTTTATTACCAACTTCAAGGTGTAGGCAGAGTATTTACACAAAATAATAAATTCAAATAGAAATGGTACATCAGGGAATTTATTTCTTTTGATCACAAGTGCATTTCTTTGCAGTTTCTGGCTACTACCTATTTAGAAAGAAAACATAATGTACAGCGGTTACATGCTCTACATTGTTTTCCTCATGAAGCTCCTGCGTTATTAATGCCAGGGTAAAGTCACACAAAGAATCAGCAATATCTCATTGCTTCCATTTTTCATGGCAAATCAGTAGGAAAAGAGACTTCAGGCCCTCCCAAACAATACACTTCTCATCTTTAAAAGTTACCAGATATTCACAGGTTCTGGGCACTTCTTGTAAATGGGAAATTAAAGATGGCATAAAGCTCACACAGAAAGCTGTCATGGCACTGAACTGCTGAAATATGCTATTTAAGAACTTCTGATTATAGATTTTAGTGGAAGAAGGCCCTTCACTAAAATTGTATGCCACTGTCACTAATTGCAACTATTATA